TGCAATCCCCCCCCCCCCCCCGACATATATAATCCATGAAAAGAGCTTCTTTCTTCATCCTCCGTCGACACCCTAGTCCTTATGGACATCCTCTACACATCTACATCAACAATTGCCTATCGGTGTCAAATTACATTCAACGCGACCATGTCAGTCAATGAACGCAGCCGTCCTTGAGAAGTTAGGAACTCGGAAGCTGAGCCCTATATAGGGATCTCACAGACAGGGTGATGGGCTATGGCCAGAAGCCTAGTTTCGATATCAAATTAACGAGCATGATGAAGCCCTTACGGGAGATTGTCATCAGTGACATGACACCGTCAGAATTCTGCACCCGCCTCGGACGTGGTTCTCGCCTTAGGGCAGCAACAACTCAGATTGTGGGCAGTCAAACCCACACCCTACGAGAATTGCGAAAAGAAAACTTCGCCATTCACAGAATGTAGGAGGGTGCCAAATATGTCTGAGGGTAGTTGCGCAAACTGTCTATGGAGCATGCATCCTGTAAAAGCGTGTAGCTTAACCATTGGTACGTACTCAAATGCAACGGGTATTTTATGACATACAAGCTAACCGCCACTGTAAGATAACGCCGTGGCTACTTGCCAGCATCGGACACGCCCAAAAGTGGTTCTTCAAGGAAAGGTGACCAAGCTGAAACGAGAAGTAAGGCAGTTCGATGAGACTCTGAAAAGCATCCAGCCTGCCATGATCAATTTCCTCAAAGCAGAACCCACTCAAACACAACGATTTCAAATCAATGGTGGTTTGGTTTCTCTGAGGTCTAGCGTCGAGAAAATGCTTGAAGCCATGAAGCATGTTTCTTTGAAGGAAGGCGACGAGGAAAAAGACAAGGAAGGCGATGAGGCAGAGAATGAGGTAAAGGCAGAGGACGAGGCAGAGGAGCAATGAGCAACTACCACAGCATGTCAGTGGCCTATGGAGGAGGAAGAAGCAGCTCAAGTCAGCCACCAGATCTTTTCTCAGGGTCCCTAGTGTAGCATCGGCTCTATGAGATCAAAAGGGAAAGAGAAGAAGGGAGTGGTGTCTGGGATGTGATGTTTAGTTCCAAAGCTTAGAGAAGCCCCTACAACCTATGGTGCGCCCACGAATGATCTTAAGCGCATTAAGATTGCCTGAAATGCATTGCAGACAATAGTCTATTCCACACATTTACCATAGATGTAGACATAATGTTACGTACCTCGCTGGACTGTAGCGGATACTTATCCTCGAGGTAGTGGAGGGTAGATTCCGCTTTCCAGGTAAACCGAGCTCTTGGATAGTGTGCAGGAACCCCTTCTCCGATTACATGAGTGGTCCTAGGCACGAGAGGGAGAGGCCTTTGTCATATATTTAGAATCTTAAGAGGTACATACGTAGGTCGCTAATCCCGACAAGGAGGTTGGATCTATGGACTCAACAAAGACTATAGAAACAACATGTACTCCGTGCATACTTAGAAACTATCGGATTGTTCCGGTATCGTGTGTCAGTATATGTAGGCCCCAATAACCCTAGCGGTCACGTATCTTGTAGCATGTAATGGCATAGTCGTTCCTCAACTAGATCAGTTGGGGAAGCCTGTTCCCATTCCCCAGCAGGCAATTAGGACAGATCCCCTGCTAATTCCAGACCCCCTGAAATACAGAAAGAAACATAGACGGAACAATCATGACAAGCTATCAGTTCATCAGCCCAGGTGCAGTTTTAATTGAGAGTGGTTTAAAGGAAGTATCGTTACTTATATTGTATGTTGTAGAAGACTCTTTGTTCAGTCTCACGATGTCACGTGCAAACCAAATCACGTGGCTGGATGCAGCCAGCTTGACAGAGCCACCCGAGAGCGAGCCCAAGGAGAGCCCGGACTATCTCCAACAACAGAGCCGAGGATCTGTGCCTCTCATTGAATCTGTCTATCTACTGTCGCTCTTTAGCTTTCTCCTTTCCCCTGTCTTCTTACCAAAACACACGGCTCCTGGTAGCCTCCTTACACCATGGCTCCACGGGACACCTTCTTCCGCTCGGCGGATATGAGCTTGACCCAGCTCTACATTGCCAACGAGATCGGAAGAGAAGTTGTCAGTGCTTTAGGTGAAGTTGGTCAGGTTCAGTTCCGAGATGTGAGTGGCGTAGAACGCTTTGCTTCAATACTCCCCGCTGACTTCTTTCTAGCTCAACCCGGACACGAATGCTTTCCAAAGGACCTTTACAAAGGAAATCCGTCGCCTCGACAATGTGGAAAGACAGCTCCGCTATTTCCACCAGCAGATGGAAAAGGCCGCAATCCCCATGAGATCTTCCTCGGAGTTCTCCGATACATTGGCCGCCCCTTTAGCGTCAGAGATCGATGAGTTGGCTGATCGCAGCGAGAGCCTTGAACAGCGGATTATCTCTCTGAACGATAGCTATGAGACTTTGAAGAAGCGCGAAGTCGAACTGAGCGAATGGCGATGGGTACTTAGAGAGGCCGGTGGCTTCTTCGATCGGGTAGGTGGCTTCGAGTATACCGCCGTTGATAGAGGAGGCTAACTGAATAGGCCCATACACAAACAGAAGACATTCGTCAGTCCTTCGACAACGATGAAGCTCCCTTGCTCCGCGATGTTGAGCACCACGCCCCTCGTCAAAATGGAGACACCCAGGGTCAGCAGAGCTTCTCGGAAATGAACATTGGATTCGTTGCTGGTGTTATCCCCCGGGATCGTATTGGAGCCTTCGAGCGTATCCTCTGGCGCACCCTGCGTGGAAACCTTTACATGAACCAGTCTGAGATACCGGAGCCCATTATCGACCCGATGACCAACGAAGAAGTCCACAAGAATGTTTTCGTCATCTTCGCTCACGGAAAGAATATCCTTGCCAAGATTCGAAAGATCTCGGAGTCGCTCAACGCATCCTTGTACGGTGTCGATGAAAACAGTGAGCTGAGAAGAGACCAGATTCACGAAGTGAACACCCGTCTCGGCGATGTTGGCAATGTGCTCCGTAACACCAAGAACACCCTTGATGCGGAACTTTCACAAATTGCTCGCTCGCTCGCCGCGTGGATGATCATTGTCAAGAAGGAGAAGGCCGTTTACGATACCTTGAACAAATTTTCATACGACCAAGCGCGGAAGACCCTAATCGCCGAGGCGTGGTGTCCGACAAACTCTCTTGCTCTGATCAAGTCAACCCTTCAGGATGTGAACGACCGCGCGGGCCTCACTGTTCCTACAATTGTCAACCAGATCCGAACCAACAAGACCCCTCCCACTTTTGTGAGAACGAACAAGTTCACTGAAGGATTCCAAACAATTGTGAATGCTTACGGTATCCCTAAGTATTCGGAAGTCAACCCTGGGCTGTACACGGTCGTCACTTTCCCCTTCTTGTTCGCAGTCATGTTTGGTGATTGCGGCCACGGTGCGCTGATGACCATGGCCGCTTCTGCTATGATCTTCTGGGAAAAGAAGCTGGCGCGGACTAAGCTGGATGAACTGACATACATGGCATTCTATGGACGGTACATCATGTTGATGATGGGTCTCTTCTCGATTTACACCGGTTTTATTTACAACGATATTTTCTCCAAATCTTTCACCATCTTCCCTAGTCAGTGGCAATGGCCCGACGACCTCAAGGCCGGCCAAATGGTCGAGGCGACATTGAAAGAAGGCTATCGCTATCCAATTGGTCTGGACTGGAACTGGCACGAGGCGGACAATTCTTTGCTCTTTTCGAACAGTATGAAGATGAAGATGAGTGTACTTTTGGGATGGTGCCACATGACGTACGCCCTTTGCTTGCAGTACGTCAATGGACGGCACTTCAAGTCTAAGGTTGATATTTGGGGGAATTTTGTTCCTGGGTTGCTCTTCTTCCAGTCAATTTTTGGTTACCTTGTCCTCACTATACTCTACAAGTGGTCCGTCAACTGGCAGGAGAAGGGAGTGAATCCTCCCGGTCTCCTCAACATGCTCATTTTCATGTTCCTGAGCCCTGGTACGGTGGAAGAGCAGCTCTACCCTGGCCAGTCAACGGTCCAGATTCTCCTGCTCCTCGTCGCTGTGGCCCAGGTACCTATCATGCTCTTCCTCAAGCCGTTCTGGCTCCGCTATGAACACAACCGTGCTCGTGCCTTGGGTTACCGCGGTCTCGGCGAGAACTCCCGAGTGAGCGCACTTGACGCCGACGGTGATATGGACGGGCTCGGCCGTGACAGTACGGCTAGCGACGGAGAAGGCGTTGCCATGCTTTCTCAGGACATCGATGATGAAGAGCACGAGGAGTTCGACTTTGGCGACATCATGATTCACCAAGTCATCCACACCATCGAATTCTGCCTCAACTGTATCTCCCACACTGCCTCTTACCTTCGTCTGTGGGCTCTGTCGCTTGCCCACCAGCAACTCTCGATCGTTCTCTGGACTATGACCATTGGTAGTGCCTTTGACCAGGAGAGCCCCGTGACCCGTGTTATCATGATTGTTGTCAGCTTCTACCTCTGGTTCGTACTGACTATTTGCATTCTCTGTGTGATGGAAGGTACCAGTGCCATGTTGCACTCGCTTCGTCTTCACTGGGTTGAGGCGATGAGCAAGCACTTCGTTGGTGAGGGTATCCCTTTCTTGCCTTTCAGCTTCAAGACCCTGTTGGAGGAGGACCCCGTGGACTAGTCCTTTCCTTTCTTTTTCTACAACGCACGGGATCATCTCCCTGTTTCTTTTTTTCTTCTTTTTATTGTAAAGGGTCTAGAATTATACATTATCCATATTGTACCGATCCGTCCCACCCGTTATTGTTCCATTGATGTAGATCCCTACATGTATCCACACCAAACTATCGTATATAGCGTAGATATCCCCCTTTAATTAGGTACCCGCGGATACCAATGGCATTACCTAAATGTCAGGATCTTTTCAAGTGCGCATGACTACGAGTGGGGTATAGGGAATTCATTCTTCCGTTGCTGATCCCGAGGCCGAGTCGGGCAAGGAACAGACCGGGAGGATCTAGATCATTAGACAGCGTATCTTCGATTAGGTTGGACGTATTGCATCATATTGATATGGGCGTATATCTAATTGGAGAGAATCTAGTTTATCTATAAGATGTATCAAATTCCTACAGCGATCAACAATAACAGTGATTTTTGATAGGAAGGCTCTATAGTTAAGAGACGGGCGTTCCCGGCAAGGGGGATGGATAACCGGGCGAGGGGAGAGGGTCCGGGCTGGTCACGCGGGGCAAAATGACGAAAACGGGACTGAAGTCACTCCCCATACTTCTACCCGGTTTAATCCCCTCACTGACGTTGAACTACTTTTTTTTTACTTTGTCTGCCTTGTTCCGAGATTGCCACTTCTACTATTTAAACTACTCTTTAGTTGAAACTCAATTGCTTATACCTTTCAATCTTGATACCCTAAATCCTCGAAACAATAACTCAAAATGGCTTCAGCACCCCCCGTCGGAGCGGAGAACATCAACACCGATATCGTCACACTTTCCCGCTTCTTCACAGAAGAACAGATTAAGCACCCTGAAGCCTCTGGTGATTTTACCCTCCTCTGCCATGCCCTCCAATTCTCCTTCAAGTCAATTGCCTACTACATCCGTCGTGCCTCCTTGATCAACCTTACCGGACTCGCTGGTTCCTCGAACATGACCGGTGATGACCAGAAGAAGCTGGACGTGATTGGCAATGACATCTTCATCTCCGCGATGCGTGGCTCAGGCAAGTGTCGCATTGTCGTCTCGGAAGAAGAAGAGGAAGTGATCCGATTCGACGAGCACCCCAATGCTCGCTACGCCGTCGTCTGCGACCCCATCGACGGTTCCTCCAACCTAGATGCTGGTGTGTCCGTTGGCACCATCTTCGGTATCTTCCAGCTTCCCGACGAGGTCCTTGGTCCCAACAAGACCGTTGGTCCAGACGACCTCCTCCACCCTGGTACCAGCCTGGTGGCGTCCGGCTTTACCATGTACGGTGCCTCAGCGCAGCTGGTGATCACGATGCGCGGCGGTGGTGTCAACGGCTTCACACTCGAGAACTCGCTCGGCGAGTTCATCCTTACCCACCCCAACATGAAAATGCCCCCATCGCGCGCCATCTACTCCGTCAACGAGGGCAACAGCCAGTACTGGGACGAGTGGTGCAACGCCTACTTCCACAGCCTCAAGTACCCCGAAAACGGTGGCAAGCCTTACAGCGCCCGTTACATTGGTAGCATGGTCGCCGATGCTTACCGCACTCTGTTGTACGGCGGCATCTTCGCATACCCGGCCGACTCGAAGAGTCCCAAGGGCAAGCTGCGTATCCTGTACGAGTGTGCGCCTATGGCTATGGTATTCGAGAACGCAGGCGGTCTTGCTGTCAACTCGCGCATGGAGCGCTTGATGGAGGTTGTTCCTGAGAACATCCACGATAAGAGTGGTGTCTTCCTTGGCTCTAAGGATGAGGTCCAGAAGGTCATCGATATGTACAACAAGTACAAGAAATAAGCGTCTCGCTGAGACGTTCTTTCATTCTTTCTGGATGCTGGTTTACGCCGGCATATTCACTCTTAACAATATTTATTCATCTACCTGTTCATACGTTTTGGATTCCCGACCTCTGCCTCGTTGCATGTTGTTTTCAGCGCTTTACGATACTTATACCTGCACAAGTCGGGATTAAAATAAAAGAAATCATTAAATCATATTGTTCTATAGCTATAAGATCCTACCCTCTTGCTGTGTTGAATTTTTAGAGGATCGTGAGCGAATTGGTGGCATAGTTCCAAGGTTATGGACCCATCATTTTAGTATTATATAAGCAGGCAATTACGCCCACGGGCGGGCGAGTCTACCTACAATATTATAGGTACTTAGGTGACTATCTGGGGTGTGTCTATCCGAGCTGGAACCCGAGGTGACTGTCCAGTAGCCACCCTTTCCTTTGGGCGCTTGCCTGTCCCTCTTTGGAACAACCACACCGACGTATCATGCCGCACTGCGCTAAAGTAGTTGCGCGTTCCGTCCCTTTTTTTGCATCTCTGATTCCATCTCGATCTTCACTGTCACCTTCACAATTCCTTGGGAATCTTCTGAAGTTCAGACATGATTCTTTCGCGCGAGCGAGCTCCACAAGGATTCAGGGGCGTTGCATCGAGTACAACTGGATCAGAGGTCTAGGGACACTTGAAGAATATGAGCCCGGAGGCTATCATCCCATCATGGTCGGGGACATGCTGTATGGCCGATACCACATTGTAGAAAACTCGGCTTTGGGGCTACTCGACCGTTTGGCTTGCCCACGACACTTATCTGAAGCAATACGTTGCTCTTAAGGTCAATATAGCATCCTCGCTTCCGCGCGAGACGAAGGTCCTTAAAGCTCTGTCTGCACCGCTTGCGCCATCTTCGCCTGGATACACTAGCGTGGCTTAATCCCCAGTCTACTAGATGAATTCGAGGTGCAAGGTCCTAATGGAACGCATACGTGTTACGGGTTACATTAGCTGTATGCAGTCTGAGAGAAGTCTCTTTTAACCCGTCTTTTCTCTTTGGAAGTTGCTCGAGCGCTATCATATGGCCTCGCCAGGCCGTTGCGTATATACACTCACGAGGCTATGTTCATGGAGGTACGTTATAGTGACAATGATATCTCTTTACGTTTCGAGACTAGTGGGCTAATGTTCGGCCCCGGGCATCTTCTAGCTTAGACATTCATTTAGACATCGTTTTGCTTAAGCTCCCGTTAAGGTTCGATGACCTTTCTATCGAGCAGTTGTACCTATTACGCAATGTAGCGGAGAGCCGCTTCTCCCGAATGTCCCAGCTCAAGCAGTTATACCGCTATTCATCGGGAAACCAGCGGATAAGCTAACTCTACCTGAGGCGCGCCTAATTCTTAGCGACTTTGGTGAAGCCTTTGCTCCAGCCTCGGAAGTTCGACTTGGACAAGACTGCCATACCCCACCAGCTTTCCGAGCTCTAGAAGCCAAGTTTGAACCAGAAGCTCCGCTTTCCTATCCATCTAACATTTGGAGCCTAGCTACAGCAATCTGGGATATTATCGGAATGAAGCCCATTTTTAGCTCCGAGTTTGTGACCGAAGATGAGATAGCGTCTCAGCGCATCGACGTACTAGGGCCGATGCCTTCGGACTGGTGGCTGCGCTGGGAGGGACGGAGCCAGTTTTTCTCCGAGGATGGCAATCAACCGAGTTTCACCGGAGAAATAAATGGCCACGACTTGAGGAGACATTCGAGATCGGTGTGCAGAAGTGGAGGCGGAAAAAGGGAAGCCATTTGGGGAAGAGGAGCAAGCGGCGTTTCTGGATTTGATGCGACGGATGCTGGCATTTCGGCCGGAGGAGCGACCGACTGCTGACGAGGTGCTTCAGTCGGACTGGATGGTCAGTGGGCATTGCTTGAGTACGATCGGAGTTTGAAGGATCTTTTTGATGTGATCAACACTTGAGATTCAAACACCAATAGTCATATCACAACCATTGCTTTAACTCTCTACATAAATGTGGAATTAGATAGTCGGCGACAGGATGATGCAATTTTGGTGATAGCGCCAAATTTTACGAATTTGACTCCTCATTCGAGCGGCCGATGGCGTGCTCCGACTCAGCCTTATAATAGTCCAGAGCTTCCAAGAAAATGAAAATGAAGAAATCTCAGATAATTGGTCGGCAGTGTCATATCTCCATACCCCAGAGGCCAATCTTATTGCCACAAGGAAATACATAGCCCTGGAGGTAGATATCCAGCCATGTCCTCTCTACCCATCGACAAAGCCCCACGCACAGTGGAAGCCGAGGAAAACCCCACGAAATCAGAGAATACGGCCAGCTGTCAGCCCCCACAACAGAAATGGTATGAGTGGTTTGCGCCGACAGATACCCACGCCGAGCGACGGCTGATTCTCAAGCTCGATGGACTGATCATCGTCTTCGTCTTCCTGGCGTACTGGGCTAAGGTCTTGGATTCCTCGGCTACGAGTACAGCCTATGTGTCTGGTATGAAGGAAGATCTGAAGCTCTATGGGAACCAATTGAATTATCTGCAGACGGTCTACATGTATGTCAATCGATGGGTTGGTGATGGTCACTGGGGGGTGGGAATTGAGGATTGATGCTGACTTGGCATAGGGTTGGTTTCATTACTATGCAGATTCCTTTGACTCTGTTGGTTCGTCGTCATTTAAATCCATCCCATGGAGATACTGATTTGCTGACTGCTTTTCATAGATGACTCGCTGCCCCGTGAACTATTTCCTGCCTGCCGCCGACCTGTTCTGGGGTGTCTTCACCCTGGCGCAGTACAAGGCCAGCAATGTCACCCAGCTCTACGCTCTCCGCTTCTTCGTCGGTGCGCTCGGTGGCTTCTTCTTCCCTGCTGTGCAATGGTACCTGGGTAGTTGGTATAAGCGCTCGGAACTGTCCCGTCGAGGTGCGATCTTCTTCATTGCTTCCCAAGTCGGCAGCATGAGCTCGGGATACATTCAAGCGGGAGCTTATGCCACACTTGATGGTCGATATGGGATTGAAGGGTGGAGATGGTTGTACATTATTTGTGAGTGTACCCCGAGTGTCCCACAAGAAGAAAAAGGAGACACAATCTAACAATATCAGGCTTTGCATGCACAATCCCCATCGCCTTCCTAGGCCTATGCGTCCTCC